GAGGCGGATTTGCCTGCCGCAGCTGGCGCGCCAGATCCCGAGGCGGATCTGCTCCCTCCACCGTGACACATGCGATATGGGCAGTGTGTTGCGTTGTTTTCTTCATTTTCTTCATTGTTTTCACCGCTATGATCTCCTGGGGCATCACAAAACTCATGCAAATGGTTAGAAGGATTACTCAACAAATGATCATTACAGTTATCGTGCCCCCTTGATCATAACCAGAAAGGTGAGGTGGAAGAAGGAGGATTTCTTTGCGAAGTAAGGCGTTGACGTTGGGGTGTAGATCAGCAATAGGGAACTTTGTCTCATCGAAAACAACATCTCTAGAGATGTAGACACGACCAGTAGAGATGTCCAAGCATTTGACACCTTTGTGCTGAGCGCTATACCCAAGAAACACACACTGTTTGGAGCGAAACATAAGCTTGCGGTTGTTGTAAGGGCGGAGATTGGGCCAGCACACGCATCCAAACACACGAAGAGATTTATAATCTGGTTTTGTGTGGAGAAGCCGTTCTATGAGAGTTTCATTGTTGATAACTCTACTAGGAAGCATGTTGATGATGTGAACGGCAGTAAGGAACGCTTCATCCCGAAATTTTAAGGGCGTCGAAGCTCCGGCCAAGAGAGCAAGGCCAACCTCAACGATGTGCCTATGCTTGCGTTCTGCAGACCCATTTTGTTGGTGAGCGTGAGGGCATGGCACATGATGGGAAATTCCTAGTGTTTGGAAGAAGGAGTTTAATTTTTCGTATTCTCCTCCCCAGTCTGATTGGACAGCAAGAATTTTCCTGTCAAACTGGCGTTCAACAAGCGCCTGAAAGTTTTTAAAGACTTGGAACACTTCTGACCTTTTTTTAAGAAGGTAGAGCCAGGAAATCTTGCTATAGTCATCAATAAAGCTAACATAGTATGTGTGTCTACCAATGGAGCTTGGGGCAGGACCCCACACATCAGAAAAAAAATAACTGCAATGGTTGAGTAGAAACACTGGCGGACACGGGATAAGGGAGTTGATGACTTTTTGCTCTCTGACAAGCATCACAAATGGTTTCAACATTGCGCTCACCAACAAACGGGAGCTTATTCTTTTTAAGTAAACAATCAACTAAGGAAAATGAAGCATGCCCTAAACGGTCGTGTCATCTTGTGGCTGAAAGCTTGATAGCACCACAAGCTTGTTTATTGTATCTTCGAAGCTCCGGAATCAATGGATAGAGGCCTCGAACGCATCTACCTCGATAGAGAGTTTTCCTCGTGACCTGATCCTTGATCAAAAAGAAGAAGGGGTGAAACTCAATATAAACATGATTGTCAAGGGTGATTCGATGGACATATAGAAGATTCTTGTCGGTGCTAGGGACATACAAAATTTTCCTAACATGAAATTGTCTACGTGGGGTACGAAAAACTGAATGACCAATGTGACGTATCCTCATACCTGCACCGCTTGCGGTGTGGATCTGGTCCTTGCCATGATACTTCTCCTTGAGCATTACCTTCTCTAGTTCGCTGGTAAGATGGTTTGTCGCGCCGCTGTCAAGATACCAGTTGGTATCGACACTGTACGAGCCGTCAGCAGCAGCAGGGATATTTTCTTCATCTTTCGAGGAAGCCTCGTCCTCATCAAACCGGTACCAGTAGTCCCTCGCCGTGTGGCCCGGCTTGCCGCAGATCTGGCAGCGCACCGCGTCCGGGCGCGATCTGGAGGACCCGCCGCGGCGGCCCCTGGTGTTGGTGGAGTTGGTCCGTCCGCGGGAGTTGACCCACCGTTGCTGCCGCCGCTCCCTTGCTTGCCCTTGGAGCGAGGCGGGCCACGATGACGGGAGTAGCCACCGTGCCCACGCATTTCTGCGTTAGCCGACGACTTGAAGCCGCCCGATCCCTAGTACTGTGCCACCCTCTGATCAAAATTACTAAGCATTGAAAAGAGCTCATCGAGGGATACCGGGGAGGTTCGGGCATCGAGGGCGGAGACGAGCGGCTGGTAATCCATGTCGAGGCCATGGAGGATGTAGGAGATGAGTTCATCATCCTGGAGAGGCTTCCCAACGGCGGCCAGCTCGTCTGCGAAGCCGCGCATCTCGGCGAAGTAGGTGGCGACGGTCTTGTTGCCCTTTTGCGCGTTCACCAGAGAGGTTCTGATGTTGTTGACGTGACTGAGCGACTGCGAGGAGAACATCCCCGACAATGTCGTCCAGAGCTCGCGCGCCGTGGTGATCGCGGTCACCTGCACGAGCACCTCCTTGGTAAAGTTGTTCAGCAGGTACCCGAGCACCTGCTGGTCCTCTCGCACCCAGATGGCGTGGAGAGGGTTCGACTCAGTTGATTCCTTCCCATCTTTGTCCTTGGTGGAGAGGATCCTGGCCGGCTCCGGAGTAGTGCCGTCGACGTAGCCGAAGACACCCGCGCCCCTTAGCTGCGGCGTGATCTGCGCGCGCCAGAGGACGTAGTTGGTGCGGGAGAGCCTCTCCGTGACTTGGCCGTTGAGGCTAGCCTGGGAGGCACCGGAGTAGGATGACATGATTTGCACTGGATAGAGTTTTAGGGTTTAGACGTTGTGGAAGAGAAGAGCTCTGATTACCATGTGCGATGGCGGAAAGCGTCGTACCTCAACTCAAGGGGACGCCGTACATGTTTATAGGCAGAGGCGCACCTCCCAGATAGCGCATACAGTTTAGATTACATCTTGGAGAGGAAGCTAGATAGAGATAAGATTACAAAGTGAAGATAGACTCTAGCTAACTACCTAACCGAACTACCAAGATATGCATAGCAAGATATGGTGCAGCAGTCCCTTGTCACGTACACAGCAATATGGTGTTTGACACTAGCTAGCGACCTCTAGAACTGTAAGGCATGTTAAACACTTGTGTGGTTTCGTTGTTATGCAATGGAGCCGGGGCGTGAGAGCCCTTTTTCTCTAAAAAAATAAATAAGCACACCACACCTTCTGATCTCGCTCTTAGAGAAACTTGCAATATTAGCACTAATATAAATGATTAAATGCGCTCTATAGTACAAATCTGGCATTTTTTATTAAACCAATACGAGGAGGGACTCAACCCAACAAGGATAGGACAACTGTCACCTCCTCCTAATGCTCCTATACTAATTAATTGTGTGTGAAATCTGTCTATAAAAAACAACCAGGAATTTATAGGACTGAAATCTGTCTATATAAAATCTATAAATCGCAGACAACCCTATTATTTGTCTTATATTTTTCCTTTCTCCACTTCATAGATAATTATATGTTATCTCTTATGGACAGTGTAATGCGCCAATATCATAAAGGCAAGACTAGCTATATATCTGGAGGGAGAATCCACATACCACTATGAAAACGGCCCTTCATGAAGTATCCTACTGACCCAAACCTGTTCAAGTTATCGTCAGTGGCGTCTTCCTTGTAGTACGTATGGTCACCGCTGTCATTTGAAACTGTCAAGAATACCTTGTCTTTGGGGACGATGTCATTTGGACCTAAGCAACAATTATCATGCGAGTAGTAGATATGATTTCTCTCCACACCGCTACACATGTTCTCTCGTATATGCACTGCCTTACATAGTGTCTCCCCCGAAAACAAGGTGTGGTCACCCAAACTTGTCACCTCCAGCCACTTGTGCTTGTAAGCTGTCTTTATTTCACTGGCGGGGATGTCGACGAGCTTGAACGCCTTGAAGAAAGGCTCGATGTTTGGTAACCATTGAGTCTTCCATGCCATCGCAACCTTTCCCTGTAGATCAAAGATGCATTTGTAGTCGCCCCTATGGATGGTGTGATCGATCCTTTCCACGGCTAGCCGGCGTTCAGCGGTGACTATTGGTGCACCATCTTCATTCACGCCAATCTCAAACTTCAGGAGCGTCCGTTTGTAGTGTAGGCCATATTTGCAGCGTAGGCCATAGAGCTCGCCGTTGCAGAACACGATGTTGATAAGCTCTCCCTTACTAGGACATCCTTGTACCGTCCACCCGCTGTTCGGGGAGCCAAGTTTGCAGAGCGCGATGCCACACTTGTATGTTATGGCGGCAAGTATGGATTCCGGCGAGGTGGGCGGCTGGGAGAAGACTACACTCCGGGGGACGGTCAGCCCGGATCCATGGTGCTGGCTAGGGCAGACCATCGTGCCCTTCTTCTCGGGGAGCAGCACCTCAGCGCCAGAGAAGAGATTCACGATCCTGAGTCTGACCTGGCCTGGTACAGGCAACGCGATCCAGCCGCCGTCGTGGCCGCCGATAACCCACCTTCCCACGGCCTCGATCGGGCCCTGGAACTGCACGACCACGCCATCCTCGGGGCAGTACATGGCCTTCTTCCTGTTGCCGCCACGAGGCGAGAGGAGCAGCCACGGGAGCGCCGGTAGAGGACCGACGGTGCGCGCGGCGGCGTGCCATGATCGGCAGACGGCGGCGAAGCGCATGCGGCCCCGCGGGGAGGTGATCATGCGGTAGACGGCCGCGAGGAGATCATCTGGAAACGTCGCCGACCAGCACTGCTGCTGCACGGTCGACGTCACGGCGCCTGCGCGCGTGCGCTTCGTTTCCTGTTCGTCGCCGACGACGGCCATCTGCGTACGGGCTGGTAGGAACAGATCGTAATTGCCCGAGTAGCTAGGAAAAGAGGTCTGATGCCCGGTAGGAAAAGATCTGTTTTTCGTTTTTTTTTTTTGTAATTAGCAGTATAGGAGATCGTATACGTGTCGGGCGCGAGACGTAACGCTGCTGTACAAAGACAGAACAAAAATCCACGTATGTTTTGTTGGAATTATGAGACCAGTCCGTGTCCGGCTTGTAAGTTGTAACAGGTCATGAAAGCAATAAAAACATAGGTGAACCACGCGCGTATTTCGCTCAAACTCGCGTATTGTTTTGGTCAGCTAACGTAGGTGCCTTCAGCTTCGCCGGAAATCGTTCGGAGCTAGGCGTGAGCACATCGTCGACCTCGTCGAGGCCTCTGCTAACAAGTAACAATCGGCGATCTATCTTACGATGGCCGGCGCCGAAGGGCTCCCCCGCGACCTCCTCGAGGCGATCTACCGCCGCTGTTCCTCGCCGTATGATCGTGCGCGCTTCGCCGCCGTCTGCACGTCATGGCAGGCCGCCGCGTTGGAATGGCGCACCCCGCTACCTGCTCTCCCACTGCTCCTCCCGTCGACGGGCATCGACCGGCGCGACCGGATGGCGCGGCCATACAGCCTCGAGGATGGCAGGGTCCTGCGTGCCCCGCTGCCATACTTCCCGTATGGCAAGAGAATCGTGGGGTGCCACGACGGCGGTTGGGTTGCCGCCACCAGTGGCTCCCTGGTCGAGGTTGTGAATCTATTCACCGGTGCCCGGTTGATGCAAAGGGACCTTACATGTAAATGCCCAACCGTTCTAGGAATGACCGACAAAATCTCCCTCGACAAAGTCGTCTTCTCGGAGGAACCTGTCACAAAAGGCTGCATCATGGCCGCAATAACAAAGAGGTGTAAAATAGTGCTATGCGGGCTTGACGGCAAGGACGACAGTGGGTGGAGCACGCAAGGATGTGGCACACACGAAATTCCCAACCTTGTAGACATCACCTTCTACAACGGAGAGCTCTATGGCCTATCGTGTGATCAATATTTATACAGGTTCGCCATTGGCCGAAACAAGGACGGCGCTTCCGCGATCACCTTGTTCAAACAACTGACCGCTGAAAGACCCATCTACTGTGGCAATGCCAAATACATCTTCGAGCTGCGTGGCAAACTCGCTATAGCAGTGGAAATCCTCAGCATTTGCAGTGCTCCAACTTTTAGGGTGTTCGAGCTCGCTGTCTATTGGGACATCATTACCAGGTCATACTACACATGGGTAGAGGTGACGTGTCTGGGCGATCATGCCTTGTTTCTAGGGCCAGGATGCTGCAAGGCGACACATGTGTCATCAACAGGGGTCGCAGACGGTGTTGTGGAAGCTAACCGTATCTACTACACCCGGCCCGAAGGCTATGCGAACCATTTACCTATGTTGGATTTGGGTAGTTGTGCCGTGTATTGCTCGGTAAGCGATGACGTGCAACGCCCTAATAGGATTATGTCACAGGGATACTATTACCGCGAGAAGGATTACGGATGCAATTACAATGAGAAGGAAGACACCAGTTGGCATAATAGTTGTACGTGGGTTCTCCCTCCGCACTTTTAGCTGGTTTGCACATGCATGCGTGTACCACATTATTATCATATATAGGGGTAAGATTCATTCTCTTTACTTGGTTTTCTATCCAAAGAACTACTATAGTTATGTTTTATTTTAAGATATTTATAATGACATGTAAGTTTACTTTTCTTATAATTTAATAGTCTATACATTGTTGATTTCTCGTCTAATCAAATCAAATCATGAAAAATAGCTGACTGTGTGTGTGCGTGCGTGGACCTACATATATACGTGGTCATGGAGTCAAATTTTATCATATGTGCACCGAGTCGTCTTGTCTGTGAAGCACTCCGCAAGTCCAGGTTGCATTGCAAGAAATTATGCTGGCGGGTCCACTGTGGTCCCTAATAAATTCTTACAAAAATGTAAGGACACTCATTTTGTAACAAGTACTACTATTATAAATAGAAATTCCAAGGATCCTATGCCGTTATACAATTACCTCGGAGAGCTCGTGATCTTCTTGGTGATAATAGAACCACGTTTGTGGATCAACAGAACCTCGGTTCGTCAGCACCCATAAAACTCGCTTCCTCGTGCGCTATTGTTGCTACAACTCCTATTGATTGGTTCTTTAGGACAGGCTCATCTATGCTGACCTTAGCATAAAATAATAATAATAGTTTGTCTAATTCACATTTAAATGTTTTTTAAAGATGTCACATCTAAGCTCCCACAAATATATATAATGCATCAACAAGAAACAAAAAAAACTAGAACAAAGAAAAACCACAAACAAAATGGACATCAGCTTAGATGTGACATAATTATGTCTCATCTAGATGTGTCCTAAACAGACCCTAATAATAATATATGCTGAGGACCTTGGCGAACCAGTCGGTGGCAAAAGCCAAGCCTGCACCTTGCAGCAGCTGGCTGCCCTATACTTTCCGTCTTCTTATTACTACCAGATTTGTAGTATTGCCGTGTTTACCATGCTCGTATTTGTCCTACCATGGCAAACATGAACATTATATAGAAAATAGTGCCAAGGTCGTCCGCTTGCTAAGCTTTTTTTGGTAGATCAGCTTGAATCATGTCTTTGTTTGTTTACATATGTGTGTCTACATATTGAATTCTTTTGATCTACACTTCTCTTCATCGACAATGATTGCTATTTTGAAGCGCTAGTGTTTTGAGCCCTTAGCACAACGACTTACGGACTATCTACTAAAGAAGGTTTACCCGGCTCCAATGAATGAGGGGCGATGACGTCGGCTCGCTATCGGCTGGTTCTCCTGCTTATAATCGTCGCTAGGTGGTCTATGGACAAGGATGTAATTTTATTGCTTCTTGTGCTCTTTGTACTGCCATGATATTTGGTGAATAGATCGAAAGATTTTCCCGCAAAAAAAGAGTATGGCAGCTAGTAGATAGACCATGGCGCCCCGACAAAGGAGATGTGGAGCAGAATAAAGAGGTTCAGGAGAGACGAAGAACATGCA